TAGCTGGAGAGATGGTAAATGTGCAAATTTCACCAGTTCGGTTCGATTTGCATTCCAAGTTCTAAATAATTTACTTCATTTATTCGGTTTTCGGGGCGGTTTTTAAACTCGAACCGGTTCAAAACCGCTCCAAAGAACGTATTTATGCTCCGGTTTACAATCTTATTCGCTCCGGTTCGGTTTACATCCCAAGTTCCAAATAATTTACTCCGTAAATTCATCCGGTTTTCGGAGTGGTTTTTAAATTCGAACCGGTTCAAAACCGCTCCAAAGAACGTATTTTTGCTCCGGTTTACAACCCTGGTTAAAAATGTGTAAGAAATAGAATATCATTTACTTGCAATTACTATGCAGAAGCTACTGTGTTTACGTTAAACGTTTCAATTGAGTGGAAATAAATACAGCTTACTAAATTTTCAAGTTTAAGTAACGAACGTATTACACGTACCACTTTATGCGCAAAACAATTATTATCTACTTCCTGTGAGCTTTTCCACGTTGGGAGAAACTTTCTCGCGGAACGCTGACTGACGAGATTAAATGGTCAGTGCGTGTTAATAGCTTGTGGAAAAATTTCCGTGTATGATGATGTTCGCTCGTAGTGCGATTATCGCAGTTGTGCGCAACGATAACAACGCTTGATGGCACGTTGTGCAAGGTAATTGTATCAGAAATTGGGTAGGCCGGCTTTTAATGGCTTTTGCAGGAAAGCTCTTGGGAGAACCTCGAGAAAAAAAGCGAGATAATGAGAGATAAAGGTAGATAGAGATACGGGAAGAGAGAGAGAGAGAGAGATTTTTCATTAAATTTCATTGTTAAACTCGTTGATTAACGCTTTGCAGCTTCAATTTTTATTATAATCAATACTTTTGCCTAACTCTATATTTTTAAAGTGATTACAATAAATTTGTAAATAAATGAAGGATTAAAACGATGCAAACATATTACACGATAATTTTTAAGTTATTTTATTCTTTCCCTTAGTTTTGCGTGTTACATTGCGTTTAATTTTTCACAGTAAAGACAAATTTGCATAATAAAATCACTTTATGATTTCAAGTACTGAATTTATTCTGAAGAAATTAAAAATCAATTCACTGTACCAGTTTTACTAGTATTATGATTAATAAATTAATCATATTGTTTAATGTAAATAATATTGTTTGATGAATAATTAGGCTTCGTTGTATTAATATTCGTATCTTGTTTATATTTTTATTGTAATCACAATTATTAATAATCGTTAATTAATAGGCCAAATGAACGGGTCTTCAAAATTCCAATCAAGCCATAAAAAATAACATACAAAAAGTAATTAAATCGTATGCTTCAAAAATAAAAGAAATTTAATAATTTTAATCATAAAATACAACGATTGAATTGCCCTTTTTTTAAACTTATAATTTTCGAAATGTAAAACCAAAATCATTAAACTAGAAAGAAATGGAAAAGAGAAAAATTGTATTAATTACAAAAAGAGATAAATTAATGATAAATATTAATAATCTAATCTGAGCTTTCGTTTCGACTTCGCTAAATTGCAGAACCATTGAGAGAGAATACACATGGCTAATTAAAGGTTGAGATTTATACCATGTGCAACCGAATCTCATTTTCACGACGATAAATTTCTATACAAAGATATAAAATTGAATATTACGCTAGAAGAACCATTGTAATAGTAATATTATTATTAACAGCATGTCGGTGATTCTAGTTTACATTTTGCAGTGGTAATTATATGTATAAACAGAGTTATTCTGTATCGGATTTGAATTAAAATTTCCCAATTCAACGTAATACGTGCAACGTAATACGTTAATACTCATGCTTTACACTTCGCCGATAAATCTACGCCATACAGAGCACGAATATTTAATGCACAATTATAGGTACAATAATTATTCCCTAAAAGATTGCGATATATCTGTCTTTCATTCAACGTAGGTTCTTGTTTCAATTTTGTTTCATTTGAAATAAATTTGATCTATTGAATCTAGGTCTATAGCAAAATGTCTTTAGTTGAATGAGCTAAAACTAATAAATTCCTCAAAAGTTAGCATCGCGGCATAATTTGGTGATTTTGGTGTTTCAGGTACTTCGATACGACAGCAAACGAAAAGTTGGCGGGCCGAACACAAAGCTGCAAGAACACTTGGTATAATTATGGGGGCGTTTCTTCTCTGTTGGTTGCCGTTCTTCATCTGGTAAGCAGTAGTTGTGAAATAAATTCACTAGCTCTTGCGTCAAGAGATTTTTTAATAACATTATCAAGGAGAGATTCATTAGCTTTCCAAATAATTTCATTAAGATTTTACTCTATTAAATCAAGAGAGGTTTCTCGCTGAAAAGAAGAGGAAAGATATGAATGAAATGTAATGTAGAGATGTTTGTGTACATTTTTTATGTTTATTTATTTTACACTTTTATTAACTAGAAGAAAAGAATTGCAATTAATTTAATTCAAATGTTATTACGATTAAAATTTTCACACCATTGGTCTTCCAATGTCAAGTTAACAATAACTCTAAAGTGTCTACTCTTCTCAAATATAAAAAATAAATTAAAATTTTTACGAAGAATTTATTTAATATATAAAACTTTCCAATTGTGTATATATTAAATAAATAAATCTCTAATGATGCTTCGAATTCCTCTAAAAGAAAGAATGTAGCGAAGCGCAAAATCTCATCGGACAAAGTAGTTTAGGTGGAAATTCACTTGGCGACTTTGCTTTGTTAAATTGTCGTAGGTTTTTCTGTATCGAAATGTCATCAAGAAAGAAAGAGAGGAGTAGAGAGAGAGGAATGGGGGGGGGGGGGAGGGAGAGAAAGGAATGGGGGAAAGAGCTTTGCTGATGCCGAATGTCTAAAGTTAACGCGGGAAGAGACGGTCTCGTCCGCCCCATGTTTTATTAATGCAAGCTCGGAAAGTGCATCTCTATGAAGTTTGCCGAGGGCTTACCCTACTCTCTCCGCAAGCTTGCTCGCAGTTTGACTATTTGCTTGACTAAGCGTCGCGACCGTAGCGGAATATGAAGATCTCTCTTAGGGAGACTCGAGAAACAAAAAAATGTCCTCGTCTCGGGGGGTTGCTGTTTCAAAATTCAAAATAGAAAATATAAAACACAGGGGATAGACACCACGGTCTGTGTAAATGGGTGCCTCGGAGATTTGTTTGCAACCCCCTTTGGGCACGCAATGATTATACGTGACCTGGTCACTTACCACTTAGATGAGTTTATCCCTGGATTTCGTAGTGAAACGATTTTAGGATTATCCGAAAACACGAATAAAAGATACATTAGTTTAAAATAGAGTGAGTAAAAGTACTTTTAGTTTTAAATGACTACGGGAAATTCGTCGCTTTTAGACCAGCTTTTTAGGATTTCCATTAAAATTAGATTAGATCGAAAAGATTGAATGGAACATTTTATAAATAGTTGAAAAGCAGCAAAATTGCATTTTAAGGTCAAATTAGGAAAATCAGAATTATTACATTTTTTGCATATAAAATCCTGTGTGGTGCCACGTTATTTTTAGAGTCTCAATACTACACATTAAGTTGGTTCTCGTTAAATGCGCAATATTAACCTGGCAATAGAATTCACGGAAATTTCGTTAAACAGCGAATGATGACGATGAATAAATACACCCGAATGAAGTACCGTCGGAAAATGAGCTCTCTATGGAAATAGAGCGAAGCAATGCAGATATATGGACATACGACAGAACACCTCGATTTTGCAACTCGGTTTTTATTCATGCAAATGCACAAAGCGCATCACTCTACTGACCTAAAAGCTCGCGTTAGTTTCGTAGTTCGGCCATTTTTCGAATCGCGTTATCGACTTTTGCACGATCGACTCTCTCTCTCTCTTAACGCATGAATAATTTGACATTCCTTTTTAAAAAAAAATGTCGGAATATCAGCAGGTCTCTTTAATTCCCCCCTTCACACTTATTTAAATTAATATCTTTATAAAAATATTATTAAAAAAGAATATCTTTATTTTATTGAGTGTTCGATATTGTTTTCCGTTCTTCACTGTTCACTTCGTGACATATGTTTTGCGAGACGCACAACGACAGAAATAACAATAGAGATATATTGGAAAACAATACGGCGAGACAAATCCGTAGGAGTGGATATATGTAGTTGTACAGAAGAGATCAACTGCGTTTTCGAAGTCCAATTTGTTTGATTGATATCGGTGGCTTTATAATTTTCGTCAAACGGAGATAACTGTGACCACAAATCCACGTCGATCCATTTAATATCGTGCTATATCGGTATCGCGATCGATGCCTCGTGCATTAATAATGATACGATTATGCGGTCGAAAATATGGTTGCGTTACGTTCTTACCGTGATTTCGATTTATGTAGAATATTCAGCCAAATCAAGCGCTGACGTAACATGAATTCTCCCGCGTGCGTAGAATAAATTTTTCCTTGGAGAAAAACTGTTTAATATATTCGCGATAAAATATATGATTCCAAAATTAATTATTATGTTTCTCTGCACCTTATTAATTTAGTTTTGAAATAAATTGGAAGTAACTGCATGGAAATACAAGCGCCATCCTTCTCAATTTAGACTGGTAACTGACGTGATAACTCTGGGAGTTACCGGAACAATTACAGCAGTTTCTGTTTAGAGATATACCTCCAGACATCTGCCTCGTTAAACAAAACTCCCAGAATTTATGCTCTGCATTTTTGCGAGCGTAATAACGTCTCTAAATCGCAGGAAATTTCGAATTTCGTTGCAAAATTACGGGCGCTGCGCGTACTGAATTCGGAGCATGAATCTTATTTTCACGTCGATTTTCACCCACGTAGAAAAGGTAATATTGAAATATTGATTTGAAATCTGCGCATAATGCAGCGGACGCATCTATATGCAAAATACTCAACGCAGATGCCTGTAGAAAAATGCACGAGACGCACGTAGGGAAAACTCGTTTTCCCCGGATGTAGCTTCGGCGTAAAACAAATCCCATAAATATCTGGACGCTATATCTGTATTCGCACTTTCAAGATACGCGGCTAACGCCGCGCCGAGGTATCCTTATCGGAAATTATAGCGCACTGTACTTGGCCAATCTATTCTCTTGACCTTTTCCCTGCAGATTTACAGCCTCTTACTGTCTCGATTATAAATGTTACCACGGTATCCCCAAAACGCTCTTTTTCTCTGTGAAAAAATTGTCTTCACGTTGTTGTATTATATGTAGCATTGCATTTCTTAAATAAAAGTAAAAAAAAAGTCTTTTTACATAACATATTAATAAAACAAAATCAGGATAGGATACGAATAATATACATTATGTATACAGGGTGAGTCTTTCCATATCCGACAAAATTTTTGAGAAGGTAAAACGGATCGAGATGAACGGAAAAGTCCTGTACCATTTTGCAATTTTCATAATAGTTAACGAGTAATTAATTATTAAAAATCGTTGTCTTAGGCCAGCCTACCGCCCAATTTGAGCGCGTGGCAAGATGTGACCGCCCGGCGATCGATATTGCTATGCGCACATCTCGCCACGCGCTCGAATTGGGCGGTAGGCCGGCCTAAGACAACGATTTTTCATAATTAATTACTCGTTAACTATTGCGAAAATTGCAAAATGATACAGGACTTTTCCGTTCATCTCGATCCGTTCTACCTTCTCAAAAATTTTGTCGGATATGGAAAGACTCACCCTGTATAATCTTCCTTTTATAATAAAACTTACCAGAGAACTTTCCATTTACATTTTCGATAAATTATTCATATCGTGCAGTATATTTTCGAGAAATGTATTAAGTTATATTCTGATTTCTTAAAATAGAATGCGAAATGTAATTTTTTTTAAGTATTGTTGTGAGAAAAATCACAGATAATATTTTTGGAATTTTATATGTATATTTCTGCACTCGATCTTGGAAAATCAATTTCATCGCTAACTTCTTCGATTAGCCCCGAATGTAGAAAAAAAAGTGTGTCCTTTTGCTTATTATTCTTCAGGTATCTGACGACGTCATTATGCGGCGAGGCCTGTTATTGCCCGGATACGGTGGTATCGGTACTTTTCTGGATAGGTTACTTCAACAGCGCCCTGAATCCACTCATCTATGCGTATTTCAACCGCGACTTCCGTGACGCCTTCAAGGATACCTTAAAGAGCGCCTTGCCCTGCTGCGCTGGCTGCTGGAAGACACCCTCGCAATTCGTGTAGTTCGACACTGCTCCGAAAAAAAACCGCCCTCGAAAGGCGAGTTCAAAATCCCTTTTTTTCTCGATAGATCCCCAACCAAAATGAAACCGAGTCGCCTCGTTCCAGCGGTTTTTCGACGTCAATCGACGCTACTCGCAATTAACCCTTATTGCCCGGATATATTGACTTCGCACGTCGCTTATTCGCGACTTGGTGCGTAGCGCACGATGTTAATACGTCGATTGTCGATCATCATGTAATACGCACTTTTGTAGATTACATTCTTTCTCATCAACCTGTGTAATAATCAACGTGTGTTTCATTTCAATATAAATATGTTACATAAAAATGGTATCGCTTAAATGATATTTTAAATAATTATTTAAATAAAAAGGAATAAAATGTACACAACGAATTTTATGAACGAACAGGATTAGACATGTTCACCCTAGACAAAATGTCTTAAGGCAGTTTTTTAATATACTTTTGTGAAAATTTACGATTTCGAATGATTTTCAATTTTACGACTTACTTGTCCTTATAATTAAATATAACAATATTAAGAAATAAAAATGTCAGTAATATATGTTACTTTTGGATTAAAACATACATTTAAATGGAATGAAAATTTGCGCTAAGTCTACTAAAGGGTTAATCGCGAACTGGCGATTTCTAAAGTATGAGTTCCTATCAAATACTACCGCAGTCATCTCGTTCGAGAGTGACGATCGGCGGCGCGTAATTGCCTTCCACATAATCACACCCCGAAATACATCCGGTAATGTGTAATCCTCGCTAATCATATCGCCTCGGGAGGCGCGCGACAAATGCTTTCGAGAGATTCGAGATCAAAATTAATGCTTTCCAAGAGCGAAGCCATTAAAACGGGTATTATCGAATATAATTGACGCTATTACTGGACGATTATCATTGATATGCTTCGATCCGCCTGACGATTGCGGGGCTGAAACCCGGAATCTCCTTTCGGCGTCGACGACGAAAGGAATCCACTGAATATAAAATCAAATAATTTCAAGAAATTCGAGGATATTTACAACAGCGGTTATTAATTTGCGAGTATTCGCAGAAAATTAATGAATGGGAAAAGGGACGGGCTACATGCAAGTTTTCAGATATTATACGCGGTATAATAATTTTCTCCATTCGAAATGAAACTATTAAAGTTCATATGAAAGTAAGATAAGTGCAAGAACCACTAACAATCAGCGTTCGCGCAAAGGGATCGACGCCGAAAGTTACACAGAATGCGGATGTATATGTGGTAAGGCACACGAGGGGATGGAGGAGGAGTTAATCAGTGTTTATTCTGTACATACGTCGAGACGGTCGGCTAGCGCTAATTAGATGTAATTATTAGCGCACCGGTATGCAAGGCTGTACCATATAGGTATATAACACGAGATACTTATTAACGTGGCGAGACCGTGTGTAACATTATCATAATCACGAAACAATAACGTCGCGGTGGATCAGCGCGCGGGATAAGGAGACACCCATCGCGTGCGCTATTTTGCCTGTATAAAATGTACTATAATAGCAATAACCAGAGGCGGATTGTAAATATATAATAACGGATGCGTGAGTGGCTCGTTGTTTTTGTAAGTATAACAAATATAACATGTATCGGCGTCGAGTTCTGTGTGTTTTACGTGTCGCTTGCGTGTACATGATAGGAAATTTGAGCCGAGAATATCGTAGGGTGACATAAATAAGTAGACAACTCATATATACTTTTAATTCTTCGAATAATAAGATTGAACTTTCATTTGAATCAAGGGATAGAGAGAAAGAGAGAGAGAGAGAGAGAGAGAGAGAGAGAGAGAGGGAGAGAGAGGAAATTTTATTAAATTTTATTAATACGTTTTAGAAATTATCTGTGCGTGCTTATTCTTCAAAGAAGTAAAGATATATATTTAGGTCTTATGTCATCCTAGTATATGTGTACCTGTAGAGGTATTCCGTATTTTGTTAGAGTACTCTCTTTCGTCAGTATCTCAAATCATTGGAAGATATCGCTTGCAATAATTACAGCAACAAATATTGATGTAACTCTGTATACCGCTGGTAATCGAAAATCGTAGTATCTTATCAACTTGCTCCGCATCCTACATAGTGAAGGTAAAGAGAAACACGCATAAAATAATAAAAATACTCGACCTTTGTAAAATCGAAATATAACGAACTAAAGACCAATTATATTGAAAATAACAATTTCAGTTAACGGAATGAGAAGAACAAAAAAAAGAACGAAGAACAAAAGCGTTTCGGTTTATATGTAGAATAAAGCTGTTATTTTTCATAACGGCTCACCCTTGGTTCGATATATTTCAACTTTATTATTTTATTATAGTTTGACTCTGCGCGATTATTATTTTCAATAAGACACCGACAAATGTCGCAGAGTTAACGCAGTACGGAATACCTTTTCTGCAACAATATGACGGTCCACTTAATCGACCGTCTCTACTTGCTTCTGGAGCAATCATTCCAGAGAGAGAGAAAGAGAGAGAGGGGGGGGGAGAGAGAGAGAGAGAGAGAGAGAGAGAGAGAGAGAGAGAGAGAGAGAGAGAGAGAGAGAGAGAGAGAGAGAGAGAGAGAGAGAGAGAGAGAGAGAGAG